TGTTCCTTCCTTTTCCTTATGAGGCTAGAAGCAGTCGGTATCACCTTGCTAGTGCTCACTCGCTCGCTCACGGATTACCAAGGGCACAGGCCTCTCATGGTTCCCTCGCTGCTCCTCCCTGTCCTACCTGCCTGCTCCCATCATTCACAGCTCACCAGCGGCTCCACCCGAGCAGCTGCCACCCAGCTGACCTGGTCACCATCCGCGGAAAGATCTTGTGCCTCCCATGTTGACATCCTTGCAATTTCCCTTTCTCTTCCATGCACCTTTCCATTCCCTCTGCAGATCCTTCGAATTCTCCAGATCTGCACAGCTGCCCCAGCTGCCTGCCCTTCCTCACCCCAAGTGCCGCCCAGGAAATGTCAGGGGGCACTGATCCCCTGCCTGCCTTTGCACATGGTCATTTGACATCCAGACAGAAAGACAATAAATTTACTGAGGATATGAATAAAGCCTTTGTTTTTGCCCCTTTCCATAGTAAAAAGACATATGCCTTGAAAGCATTCAATATTGCAAAGACTTAGTTGATATGAATAAAAAGAGGAAACATGCAGGACACTGAGAATGGTTCTTTGTGTGTGTGTGTGTGTGTAAGATGTGAAAAAACAGAATAACAAAATGGGTTTAGGAATTCTATGAACTGGGCCAGAGATTTAGCTCAGTGTTTTTGGTGCTTGCTTTGAAAGCTCAAGGGCCTGAGTTGGATCCCCAGTACCAAAAAAAAAAAAAAAAAAAAAAAAAAATTAGCCTTCATTTGATCTTAGCCACAGGGCTGGGAAGTGACCCCTTTGCTTGATAGGGAGGATAATCAAGCCCTTCCTCATGGACCAATACACTCAGTGAGTAAAATGCATGTCACATAACCAGGAGAATGGAGAGAGGGCGTGTTAAGGAATTCCGCCCCTGTGAAGTCAAGGCAACAGCACTGTGCTTCTGAATAACTTGAGTTTTAAAGAAAATGCATTATTCATGAAAGTGCAGTGCAGCCACTCTGAAACACTGAACATTTCTACTGTTTCCATCTATTACCTGTTGGCAGCAGCACCTGTTGGACAGGCCTAGCCCCTGGAAGCCTAGCACTCCAGGGCAGGTCTTGAGAACCTGACATGGCACTGTCACCTCCATTACAGTCAGCGTGTTATATGCAGAAGTGCAGGGTTCAGGCCCATCGCGGGGCCGAGCAGGATGTCTGGTGGGTGTTTTTGCTAACGCTGTCGTCCTGGGGACTTGTACCTGTGTTGGGCTGAATGGCGACTACACACATGCAGGTGTGTCTGTCACAGTTCTGTGTACTTATATTTTACTTCTCTCTTAGGAGGAATCTGTGAAGTTTAAAAATACGTACAACTCAAAAACACAGAATAAAACCTAGAAGGACATGAGGGCCGAAACCTCCCCTTCCTTCCTACACAGGGGCTGGGAGAAATGCACACTCTGGGGTCCTATGGAAGGGGCCGCAGACCTGGCTCTCAGTGTTGCATAAAGACAGGAAGGCAAATGCAGTCAACTTCCAGAACCATGGAAGACACAGAAGAAGTAATCAACCTGTAAGAGGACCTTGGCTTTCTCTGGCATGAAGACTAAGACTTCTTTGAGGAATTTTCGTCAGGGAAGACACTCCTTAATGCGTAAGAGACTGGGGAATGAGAGCCCTGTTCACCATCGTGAGTGAACAGGGCTGCTTTTCTGTGAGGCAGGATTTTCCTACATTGCAAGCTAAAGACAAAAACACTCCCGTGGGGACCACTCTGTGCTGCCCTCCTATGAGCTCATGGGTTGTCTGGAGTGACCCAAGGGCATCTCAGACGCAGCCTTGTTCTTGGCAAACTTCCTGTGGAGACGGAGATGCTCCACGGCTGCACTGCATGGTGTGATGTTCACACCCTTGTTGGGGGCAGAGGATGGAGGAACAGACGTCCAACTCCTCTCCTGACTCACTGAAATGTAAGCAGCCATGCTGGCTCATGGCTGTGGTGCTGGACAGTGCAGTTCTAGAATAATGTCTGAATGATATCTTTCCAACAACATTGCTCGAGTGTTTCTTGTGACCAAGGCCTGACTTGACAGCTTACAGGTCTACGGGAATACTGAAAGCAGGGGCAAATTCTGGCCCTAGAAACTGGAGAAAATCAGGTAGTAGAGGCCTCAAAGCCCAACACCATGAGACACATATACACTCTTATTAGAGAAAGTCTGGAGATGTAAATAGTCCAGTATATTATTTTTAGTAAGAAATCATTTCAGTCTGTTCTCTGCTGCTATAGCCGAGCACCATTGACTTGGCTATCTATAAAGCATAGAAGTTCATCCTGTCTCATGGTCGAGAGGCCGGAAGGCAATGGCACTTGGAGAAGATCTTCACACTGCTTCATATAATATGGCATGGGGCAAGAAAGAAACCCAGGCAGAGGAAACTGGCCAAACTCAACTTGGTTTGCTCTTTACGGCAGCACTGGGGAGCAAGCCTGGGGCCTCACAGATGCAAAGCATGTGTTCCACCACTAAGCCTCACCCCAGCCCCGATTCACCTTACTACCAGGTGCCCGCAGTGATGCCCAGCCACCCTCACCCCATACCAGCTGTGGCCCACTCACTTGTACTGTGACAGTGGCGGTGACTTCCCCACGTGTTTCTGAGGGATGTTCTAGCCAGAGTAGAAGTGACGGTCTGTGCTCTTGTGCCTAATGTGTTTTATACTTTATAGACCTACATTATCACTTCAGTATCTTTTCACATTTACCAATTCTGTCAACTTTCTTTTCTGTTCAACAGATGACCTTTTTTTTTTTTTTTTTTTTTTTTTTTTTA